GCTGGGCTACGAGGACAGCTGCAGCCTGGAGAGCAGCGGGAGCAGCGGGACGCGGGATGCGGAGCCCAGCGACCCTCCGACACCCCAACCCGCCCCCGTCGACTTGGGCTCAGCCGGCGGGATGCTGCTGGACCTGGCCGTCAAACGCCCCGTCGTCAGGTCAAAAATCAAGGTAAACCGCCCGCAGCCCCGCCAGGCTCTTTGCCGGTGATGGGGTGATCCCCGCTTCTAGGGCAGGACCCGGCTGGCGGCTGGGGACACCAGGTGACAGCAGTGCCTTTGGGCTCTCTCTGCTGTGGAGGTGACAGCACCCATCGCACGCACCGTGATGGAGGCGGCTGGCTGTAGGGTGGCAGCCGGCAGGGCAAGTCTCATAAACGATGTACCGTAATCTTCCAGTGCCCTTTGCCTCCCCTTATCCCCGCCTGGGACATGCCGCCCCTGACCTGCTTGGCTTGGGTCCCGCAGGAGCTCTGAAGCCAGCCAGGAAGGACCAGCCCTGGCAGCTAGGAGTCATGCCCCACGGTGCGTGGGTGGATCTCGTTCCTTAACGTGGGGCCTCCTTAAAAGGCCGCCTTCTAGGTTGGAGTCAAGCCTTTGCCAAAGGGGGCTGTGGTGAATCTTCCCACCGCCCCCCTACCTTCTTCGCTTATCAAGATAGCAGTCAGGAAAAGGTCCTCCTCCGAAGCCATGAAAGGCCATTGCCACCTTGAGGTGGACCCGCAGGCTTGGGTGAAATGAAGCAATCTGCCCATTAACTTATCTGTCCATTAACCTTGCTGAAGAGGCTCTCTGCTGCACAGGCAGGGGCCCTTACCGGCTGGGCGTCCCCTGGCAGGGCCAGCAGAGCAGAGCTGTGATTTCCTTCCCAAGGACGAGAAGGCAAATCGCTCATGGGCTCCTCATAGTACCAGAGAACCCAAGACCGAGCTCCCAAAGCGCAGCCATGATGCAGATGGGGTGGGACGACCAGGTCCATCCAGGGTTCCCCTCAGCAGAGGTGGAGCCAGGCCGCCCCAGTGCTAGGAAGGAGGAGATGTGTTTACTGGTGGCTAGTTAACACCTCGTTAAGACCTGGCTGTTGCTTTGCTGGATGGAGCATTAAAAATTCCTGCTGTCTCTGCTGGGATGACATCCTTTCAGCCACTATGTTATTAATCTTGTGATTAACACTAGGTTTTCACCCTGCTTATATGCGGCCGCATGAGGTGGAGTCCTACCTGTTGCCCAACAGATACTTCCCAGCTGGCTTCCCCTCTAGTTTCACACCGCGTGGCTTCGCAGATGCCTTTTTAAAAATCTTTTTTTACAATTTCAGGTAGCATTGCTTCAGTAGTAAGTAAAGGAGGAGGACGGGAAAAATAAGTGGTTCTTCAGGAAAAAGAAACCCCAGACATGTTCCTCTCTTTACGAAGAACTTGCCCCGCTGCTCTTTGACTTTAACCTACTTTGTTTAATTTAACCCGGGCTATTAGCAACAGTCACAGCGAAATCCTGTTTCGGCAGAGTTGGGTTTTCTCAGCGTGCCACAGAAACTCCCCAAAAGCACCACCAGAGCCGATGGACGTGTGTGCGTGGTGCCGCCTCCTCTGCTGGCTTTCCCCTGTCCTGAGTGGCTAGTGGCGAGCACATCCGCTCCCCCATGAATAATTAAACTAATAGCGAAGTATTTGCATCTTCCAGACATTAAGCCTTCCCTCTGAGGAACGCTCTTCGCAAGAACTGAATCATCCGTGTCTCCCTTAGTTAAGTTAGGTCATGGTGTTGGCGCAATATTTTTGGTGTTAGGAGGAGGAATGAGGAGATTAACCCCTAATGACACTCTGCCGTTAATTAACGAGCCAGGGAGACCAACGGGAGGAGATTAGTGCCATTGTCTCAGTCTCTGCTGAGTCAGCACAACGTGCCTTTGGTTTATCTTGCCAAACCTACGTTTTTCTTTTTTCACCACTGGCTGTTTTTTTGAGGGACCCATAGCAGCTCAGCTGGGACTGTGATTAGCGAAGGCACCGCATGGGTACGGCTTTCTCACGCCGGGGAGGGTCTCCCATCTCCATCCAGGATGTTGTCCGAGTGCAGGAGCAGACAGACGTGCGGCCCCACAGAAGAGGTGCTGGTAGCCTAGACGTGTGTGCTTATGGACGTAGGGTCCCTGCCTCGGGAAGGTATCCAGCACATCGGCTTTGTTTTAACCCCCGAAGCCAAGCTGGCCAGCGTTGCACCAGTCCCAAACCAAGCGCATTAAGCCACCCACCTGATTGCAAGGGAAGCGTGAAGGTCTCACCCAAATGCTTTCACTTTTGATTTTGGATATATCCCAAGAATTTTTTAATGCAGCAATAAGCCATCCCTCCTTATTCCGTTTGTTTTCTGTTGGTCTTTGTTGTCTCGATGCCTACTCAACCCTGTCCTCTTCCATTCCTTAGTTCACCACCGGCACCTGTAACGATGCTACAGTGCATAGCTGCGAGCTGTGCGGCAAAGGCTTTCGCTTGCAGCGGATGCTCAACCGTCACATCAAGTGTCACAGCCAGGTGAAGAGACACTTGTGCACCTTCTGCGGAAAAGGCTTCAACGACACCTTTGATCTGAAAAGACACGTCCGGACCCATACCGGTGAGAACGCGTTCTCCGGGGTCTCGCGGACGGCTCTGGGTAGCGGGAGGTGAGAGAAGAGGTGAGATGGGACGAGGATGAGGAGAGGGTGAGGGTAACCCAGCAAGACAATAATACAAACCCCAGGTAAATAACGTTTGCGAAAAATAGCGGGGATGCAGTGGAGGAAAGGGAAAGAACGGACAGATCAAAGTCCTGAGACTAATGAAATCTGAGGAGAACGAATGAAATCCATGTGAAGCGGTGTGGGCACACCAGCTGCCATTCAGATCTGGTGTAGACATGGCCGCGTGCTGCCGTGCCTGGGTCAGCGAGACCGGGATAACCCACCCGGGATAACCCACCCAGGATAACCTGCCAGCATAGCGCACCCGACCTTATTGTGAGTCCAGCTTGTACCGGTGAGCGCAGGCAGGCAGTGGATGAAAATGCTTTGCCCTCTAGAGGCAACGAGCTGCAGTATCTTGTTAGGGTTTTTTTTGCGAACTTTCCCCAGTGGCTGTGCTGCGGGATGGGGTTGTGGCTTGATTTTGGCACCGTCTGGAGAAACCAGAGTGTGGTTCATGCTGTGCCCCCAGCTTTTTTAGGGAAACTAGTCAACACATCTGACTTCTGCTATCCCTGCAGATGATTAGGGGATTGGAGCATCTTTCTTTATGAGGAAAGGCTGAGGGACTTGGGTCTTTTTAGTCTAGAGAAAAGACGACTGAGGGGGGATCTTATCAATACTTCTAAATACTTAAAGGGAGGGTGCCAGGGGGATGGGAACAGTCTCTTTTCAGTGGTGCCCAGTGACAGGACGAGGGGTAATGGGCACAACCTTGAACATAGGAAGTTCCATCTAAACATGAGGAGGGACTTCTTTACTCTGAGGGTGGCAGAGCACTGGCACAGGCTGCCCAGAGAGGTTGTGGAGTCTCCCACTCTGGAGGCATTCAAAACCCGCCTGGATGCCGCCCTGTGCAACCTGTTGTAGGTGACCCTGCTCTGGCGGGGGGGGTTGGACTAGGTGATCTCCAGAGGTCCCTTCCAACCCTGACCATTCTGTGATTCTGTGATAACTGAGGATGCTGTGATTGAAGCCCATGATGGCGCTGGAAGAAAGAAAAATTGTCCCTTTCCCTTCTCCGCTTGTGCTTGCTCCCATATTGCTCCCCCGGGCTGGAGGGATGCACTTGCTGTGGCCGCTCTGTGGTGGGGCCAGTTCCTGAGCCCACCCCAATTAGCGGCGGTTTTCTTTCTTTGAAGTGGATCCGTTGCCTCAAATCCAGCTCACTGGTCACAGAAGTGTTTATCCTCACCCGAGGCAGGGAGAAGGCCGCCTTTTTGTTTCTTTTCCTTAGTGCAGGTGATGGCTTCGGTACATGTCAACCCCATCCTCCCCAAGCAAGCCGCTTTCTGGCAGGTCAAGCTGGCTGTGCTCAGGAGGCTTCGACTTTGCACTGTACGGCTCCCAGAAGATGCATCCACTGCATCTCCCCGGCACGTTCCGACTTTCCAAGTTTGTGGTTACCTACGGGACCTGCCGATTATTTGGGCTGGCTCTGCAATGCCCCTTTCTTGGCTTAGGCACCATTAACTAGGCGAACTGCGAGGCGCAACGCAAGCATGTCGGTGGGCAGGAGTTGTTTCTTAGCAGTGGAGCTCACGGAAACAATGCCGCCCGTTTCAGTTGGAAAGCGTTGGCCAGAGCCAGTGTTTTGGGCTGGTTTGGTTTGTTTGCAAAGCTTTCATGTGGAAAGGAAAGCTGCCGGCTGCGAGCAGGGAGCTGCCGCTGTGGTACGGCTGAAGTACGGAGTCGGCGCTTCTGAAAGAAGTGATTTTTTCAACCTGTCCCCTCATCCTTTGAGACTCAGAAACTAAATCCAAGAGGGTCTCCGTTCAGAAGCTAAAAACACATATATGCTGTGGCAGGTGGGGTTGAACTTGCTGTGCGGGAGTGGAGCCAGTTTTGCAAAACTCTGAAAGGGAAGAAGGATCTTTGTACTGGACAGGAGTGAAACCCCACTGTCCTGGAAATGTGAATCTTATGGTTAGATTGGACAGGGAACTGCTGGAGAGGGCACAGCAAAGGGCTACAAAGATGATTAGGGGATTGGAGCATCTTTCTTTATGAGGAAAGGCTGAGGGACTTGGGTCTCTTTAGTCTAGAGAAAAGATGACTGAGGGGGGAATCTTATCGATACTTCTAAATACTTAAAGGGAGGGTGCCAGGGGGATGGGAACAGTCTTTTTTCAGTGGTGCCCAGTGATAGAACAAGAGGTAACGGGCACAAACTCGAATATAGGAAGTTCCATCTAAACATGAGGAGGGACTTCTTTACTTTGAGGGTGGTGGAGCACTGGAACAGGCTGCCCAGAGAGGTTGTGGAGTCTCCCACTCTGGAGACATTCAAAACCCGCCTGGACGCTGTCCTGTGCAACCTGATGTAGGTGACCCTGCTCTGGCGGGGGGTTGGACTGGGTGAGCTCCAGAGGTCCCTTCCAACCCTGACCATTCTGCGATTCTGTAATTGTCCCCAGATTTACTAGAGAAAATCTTGCGTCGCTGTTTCTCCTCTCCAGTGTAAAGCCAGGACGAACATCCACATCTATTGTATTGGCCTGGTGCTGTGGGTCCCAGGGAGGATGAAGGCAGGCTGGCACAGCGCTACCAATAATGTATTGGCGTGTATCATTTCCAGGCTGAAACACGGTATCTCCAGAAGAGGTGGCTTTTTTATGTCAAAGTCGATTGCTGTTCAGGAAAGCTGGGCTGTATTTCAATGTTAAAAAGGAGACAAATAAGCTGGAAGCGGTCATGTGGGCTTTATTTTGTAGCTGTGGGTGCTCATCTACATCTGCTTTACTGAATTTTGGTGTCCCAGTGGAAATTGCCGTGCAGCGTTTGTAACCAGACTGTGCAGCAGCAGAGTAGTGTCAGAGAGTGTGCAAGCGTCCCAGTCTAACTTCATGGTGTAAGCAGATGTAAACATTAAAAAGTAACTAATATACACAGTAAAATGAAATTTTAAACTGATTCCTAAGTAATGCAGAAGTTCCCACAGCCCTGATGGGCTGTGCCATCCCGACCCGTCCCCTCTGGTGCTGGTGTTCATGCCTGTGGAGCACTGTTGGCATCAGGAACCGAGGAAGGAGGGGGTTTAAATTGCCTTCAAGGAGCGTGAAACAGCACCCAAAATACTATTTGTAAAAGATATAGTTTTGTGTGTGAATTCTAATGGAGAACTGGACTTTCTCTCCAGTTGCAGTTTAATATAACTGAAGTAGTCTCACGGCGGTAAGGTGTGAGGAAATTTTAGTCTGGATGGTTTAAGCCAGCGCACCGGGATAACCACCTCTCGCGACGCTTGCAAAAATGCAATCAAGATGCTGCTTATTGGAACTGCTAATTGGTTTGGATGTCTGGTAGAAAGATCAGCAACTGAGTGGTGGACGTAACACAATCCGATTACCAAGTTACAACCGTCTGTATGGAGACGTGTGCTTTGCCCCTTTTTTTGCCTGGCTGTTCCTCACCGTAGGTCCAGTCTTCCACGCGCTCGCGTTTCACCTTCCACTGGGGAAAGAGAGGGGTTTAGGTAGCTCCTTGTGTCAGTTTTAAGGCTGGTCTTTTCTTTAAAAGTTACTGAGCTAGTGTAGTAAGTAAAATCAGAGCTGGTTTAGGTCTTTTCAAGTGTTGATGAACCCTCAGCTATTTCCCATTCAGGTACTGGGAGGCTGTTGTTGTTAAATCAGTGCTGATTGGTGGTACTCTTTATGGCTCAGTATTTTTATAACATTGGTTGTACTGAACGAAACTGTTCTGGCATTGAAATCACGAGGCAGCCCCTTCTCCCTCCTCTGGAGACACGCACCTTTCGTCTTAAGGCACTTCTCTTCTAGACCTTGAGCTTGCAGCCTCGGTCATCACACCTTGTGATCTCAATCACATCACGTTCTACGACAGCGCTCTCCCTCCTTTGAGGTCCTGTGACGGCTGTGTGTTCACGTTGGGCTGCCGTTCACTGAAGCCTCGTTAAGCTCTGCTCGCTAAAAGAGAAAAATTAACATCTTACCGTGATACGAGATTTCATTCGTTATAAAAGCCAAAAAGAAGGGTTCGCTGAAACCGGTAGTTTCACCTCATCACAGGACTTCAAAAAAGCCGGGGCTCTAAAGGAGTAAGTTTTGCAAGAGTCGATACAGCTTCTTCTTTAGGACCAAAGCGCTGATGGGCACCTGTTGTTCTCAGCATCCGCCTGCATCTTCTCGGAACGTTTCTCGCTTTTCTATTCCTCAATACATCAACCCATTCCTGAAAATTTTAGCCTGAAAGGAAGATGTTTTCTTTAGACAGGTAGTTCCTTGGGCTAGAAGCTCCCTGCCGCTTGGTATTCCCTCGGTAGCTGGTATGCCGGAACCTTGCTCTCAGCCAGTTCCTTCGTCGGCTGTACGAAACGTAAATCAGAACGCTAATCGCGGTCTTTTAACGTTGCAGGAATCCGGCCTTACAAATGTGAGGTGTGCAACAAAGCCTTCACCCAGCGCTGTTCCCTGGAGTCCCACCTGAAGAAGATTCACGGCGTGCAGCAGCAATACGCCTACAAACAGAGGCGAGATAAACTGTACGTGTGCGAAGACTGCGGCTACACGGGCCCCACGCAGGAGGACCTGTACCTGCACGTTAGCAGCGTTCACCCCGGAAGCGCTTTCCTGAAAAAAACCTCAAAAAAACTCGCAGCGGTTTTGCAAAACAAACTGAGCCCTGTCCTGCAGAGGAACTCCAAAGATGACGACAAGGATGAGTAACACGGTGGATTACAGTGGTCGAAAGGAATTAAGTTTACATGTAGGACTCTCTCTATATATTATTTTTTTAAAAACAGTTTTTGAAAAATATCCCTGAAAGGAAAGGGATGCTTTCGTTAACGGGACTCGCTTGATGCTGGTAGAACCTCAACTGGAAAGAAATATTCCCGTACGCGATGCAAACATCAGACTTTTTTATCTGGTCAAGAAAAATGGGAAGCTTGGAAGAGGCTGTCACCTCTTGGGTGGAATATTGACTGAACTGACATTGGGGCAACCTGTTTTCTGTTGCAGCTCTGCCACGTGCCCGAGTGGCCATTGACAAATAAGTTCACCTTTCCCCAGTGCGTTTTGTAAAGGTAATAGCCATTACCTCCCGTACAGATTCCTGTTGAGAGGTTTGGGTGAAAAGTGCCGTGTAAGAGCAGCTGCTGGCACATTGTTCTGTGCAAAATGAATTAAAATGGTTTTAAGAACAGGCGTCCACCGTATCGGTAAATAAGAGAAAATGTGCAAATAACCGTACCTCTGCCCTCCGTGCAGTACACTAATGATTTATGGAAGCACGATCCAGGGTGAGCTGAAACTTTTTTTTAAAGGGTGCAGAATTTTTTCCTCCCAAACTTTCCAGGGCAGACTTACGGTCATGTTTAAGGTACTTTAAGCTGTGAACTTATTTTATCATGTTTAGATTTAAGTGTAACCTTAACTCGATGTTCCTGGACTTGTCACCCTTGCTTTGGGGATCGTTACCCCATCCTTTTAACGTACATCAATACCAGCCCAGAAACCCAAAGAAAACACTTTAATGACTTGAAGATACGTTGGTTTTTTTTTTCCTGTCATGACGAAATGCAATTTTGTGTGTATTTTATGGTGTGTGTATATGTGTGTGTGTTTGTTTGGGGATTGTTGTTTTTTTTTTTTTCTTTTTAACGATCAAGTGCCCGTTCCCTGGTAGAACAGAGCAGTGCCACGCAGCGAAGAGGGAGATTTAGCTTATCGGTGCAAAATTTCGGCAGGGATCTGACCTCTCATCCGTAACCCCTGCTGGTTTAGAAGGCTCCACGTGGAACTGACGCCGCAAGGGAAAGGGGTGGCCATGACCGTGAGGGACTGGTACTACATCTCGGTGCTTTTGGACTTCCTCTAAGGTCCCGCTCCAGCTCCTGTTGACCCGGGACAACCACAAGGGTAGCCTAGAGTGGCGGAGTGTGAATTTAGGGATTTAAAAAAAAAAACGGGGGGTGGGGGGAGAGGGATGCCCATAACTGGTGTCACTAAAACCACCGCCCGACACCGAGACTCGAAAGAAGTTGCTGCAACCTTTGCCGGGCGCTCGGGAGTCTGTGTCGGGAAAGACAGGGTGGGGTGGTGACAGCCCCAGCAACCACACGTTGCTCTGGTCCAAGCGTACGTTATTCATCTGTCTCTTAATGGACACAGCCGCTAAACAGGTTTTACGTCAATTTAAATGCATAACGACTAATGAGTTTAATTTGTAAATTCCGAAAATTCGTTTCGTCCTCAAAATAAAGCTGTACACTCGGGGAGGAGACGCTGTATTCCATATACGGTGAAACAACAGCTGAAAAGTAACCCACCTAAAATACAGTCATGGCCAGGACCTTCATAATCGTTACTACTAAAATGAGACATTCTGAGCGTCTCTGCAAGAATTGTAAAAATCTTCTCAATTTGCCTCAGTTTTGTACAGGCATCTGCTTGGGGTTTTGTGGGGAGAGGCTTCTAGGGGTTTTAAAGCGTTTCTAATGATATTAATACTTTATCAGCACAGCTGGTGGTGCTTGGGACCTTGAAACTGAGGATAATAAAGTGATGCTACTGTGTAAAGAACAAACTTGTCATCCTATGTAACAGGAAAGTTCACAGAATGCTTTAATAAATGGAAGTCTGTGGGGAAAAAAAAAGACCACGGGGGAAAAAAAAAATCATCTGAGGTAAGTTAGAAGATCCTTACTTTGCAAAAAGAGCTAAAGCTTACGCCCCGATCCCCAGTTCTTCTGAGATCATGCCATTGTAACTGAGCAGTATAGGTGGAAGGTTGCTGACGCTGAGCGAAGCGTGCATGCTTGCAAACACAGCGACAAAATTGCCTGGGGAAGAAAAGTGTCACCAGCTGGTTCAGCCAATTGCGCTGGTGCTACTGTCCCGAAACTTGCTTGGTGAGGGCTCAGTGGTGAGACTTCGTTGAGTTCAGCTCCTTGGTGGGACTGTTCAGCAGAGTCCACCTGAGCGAAGTGACTAGCAGTCGCCTAACCGCACAGTGTTGGTGTGCTCAGCCCTGCTGCTTCCGATTTCCCTCCCATATCACTGTGAAACCATGTCCCTGCTGAAGGAGCTACAGCCACATTTAGGTGGTCCCTCCGTGTGATCTCAGTCAAAGAAAGCACTCACAGCAACGGAGAAAAGCAGCAGGTAACAGTGCAAGAAGAAAAACTGCTTTGGACAGAGAGCAAAGCTGTGAGAAGCTGGATGCCACAGCCAGAGTAACCGCGCTGAGTGTCTGGCTGGTTTTTCTGCAGAGGACAGATACGCCCTGCAGCAGGTGCCTTGGGCACGTCAATTTAACAGTCTGGCAACTTAGTTTTAAACCATTCACAAAGTGGGTTTGAGTTTGCATGACATTGGCAATGGCCACCTGCCAGTTCTGTTACGGGAGAAAACTGCCACCAGCTCGCGCCTCAGCAGAAACGTTCTGGCGCTCACACCGGGATGGATGCTGGCGGCAACCAGACTGTCAGAAGCGCCAGACACCAGTAACTTCCACCGGCACTGCCTTTGAAGGCTGCCAGCCTTCTCCGGGCTCTCTGATGGTACAGACTCGAAGGGAGGTTTACAAAGCGACACTGCCAGTGGAGCTGGCGGCCCTCCTCAGGCACGAGGCATTGGTTAAGCAAATGAAGATGGGTGAAGCCAAGAGGTGCCCGCGCTGCCCGGGCTCCAGACTTGTCCTTATTTCCTAGGAGGAAGGATGAGGCTGCAATATTACGTGCCTCAGAGACATCTGATGGCTGTGTGATGCACCCATGAAGGTGGCAATCCCACCCAAACATTGCCCAACTGTTCCACGCTCTCTAGATGTACCCAACCCCAGTCAACACAGGAAATTCAGCACGTTCTACCACCTCCTGCTTCCGCCCAGGGGCATCTTACCTATTGCTTATGCCCACCCTCTTTGTATCCACGGAGCTATCTTTCACAGAAAACTGACCGTGTTCGGTGGTGTCGAACCACCCACTTGCTAAAATTCTGTGATGTGGGAAGTTACTGGCAAAACAGGTAGAACTTCTGAGCGCTCACGCAGCATCGTCGTGGTTAGTCATCTCTGAACCCGGCTTCTCAGTCGCCATGGTTTGTCTTTTTAGATAGAAATCTAATTAAGCACGGAGTAATCATGCCATCACCAGAGCTGGTTTGAATAAGCAAGCACCACCGTAACTAAGTTTCATTGCAGAGGTTTCCACAGCTCGGTACTCTGGAGGAGCAGAGATTAAGCACTACAGAAGTTTAAGTTTCTTCAGCAGTTTCTTAAGCCTGCCCGTTGTTTTTTTTTAGGTATGGTTCTGGCTGATTTTCTTGAAGCTTATGGGTTGGTCGTATTTTTATTTGTAATCTGCAGCGCTATTTCAAAAACTCATACATACAATTCAGAGAAAACAGAGGGAATGAGGAAAAAAGCCTTCCAGGTGCGGAACACACAAAGCAATACCGCCTGACATGATCAAGGCTTATTCATAAAATCAAGTCTATAGACAGAGGAACAAGCTTCAAAAATAACTCTTCTCTTTCAGAACACTTATTCACAAACGTATTTTAAAAAAAAACAACAAACAACAAAAACCCATCCACAAAAAACCCTACAAACCCCAGTCAGCAGCTCTTCGTTGCTCAGAAGGCTTCAAAGCAACAAGCCTGCTTTTATAGAGAAACTCACTTGTGCTGGGGAACGCTATAACCTGACACTGGAGATGGTTCCACAAGGGTGGGCTCCTGGTCAGCTCAGACCCACCACGAGGTCAGGAATGCTCCAGAGGGCTGCAGACCCAACCCGCGCAGCGCCTCACCACCGGAGGTACAACGCCCCCTTACACTCTCACAGCTCGTTCATGTGGGCCGTGCAACCCTGTTAAGAAATCTGCAGGAGGAGCTGCTAGAAGTGGACAAAATTCCCACTTTTCAGAACAATTGCTGGAAATTTCTAAGCGTTTCTACCGGTTACAATTCTGCTCCTCTTTTGCTAAGCCACTTCTCTTAAACGATCACTTTGCCTTAGTATTTTAAATAAGTGCCTGTGAGAACTTTGGTTACAATTCTCAGCACAGTTTTTCCAGTTGTTGCCATAAGAAAAACCACAAACAGTAACAAGCCTGCTAATAGATACCTTTGAGATGAGCAAACTAAGCCGACTGAAACCCAGTCTACTATATTAATTTGTTTATCGTTTGCATTTGTCTCAGCTCAGACTACACAGATGTTGTTCTGCTTTAGTTCACCAACTTCATTTTCAAAGTCTCAGTTCTGCAACAGGTTTGTTGATTTTATTTTATTTTTTTTTTCCCCAAATGCCAAAAGAAGGATGATTTGATTGAGCAACTTTCCTATCAACCTCGGGTTGTATTAACCCTGTGGGGAAAAACAGATTAACTAAGTCGACTTTGTCCGGCCAAGTCCACCTAAGTCACCTACAATGTGAGCAAATACACATTCCCCACTCCAATTTTTCTTTTTTTTTTTTTTTTGGAGGGGAGGGAAAAAAACCCTGATATTAAGAAATGAGCCAAAGTTACTGAAAAAATAAAATGTATTCAAATGGAAGATTTAAACAAAGGATTCTTGCTTTGTCTCTGCGCTCAGACCACTGGCTTCAGCATAGCTTAGTTTGGGTCAGTTTTTGTCCACGTACTCTTCAAGGCGCAAAAGCCACTTATTCCAGTACTGTGAGCACAGCTCAGGATCCATGAAATGCGGATGCGCAGGGGAGCCGTTCTTGTAGGCAACCACAATGAGTCCACAGCTAACCTGCAGTTAAAAACAGAAGGCTGTCAGAAATTCAATGTCAATATGCAACTTCAATCAGCAATTCCGAACACTAAACCTCACTGCAAAACATCATCCTTAACTCTGAGTATCACAGTAATAGGGTCTGTTTAAACCTTGCAGATGTGGTAAAATTTCCAGTGACTGATGAGGATTTGCCTGAGGTCAAATAACCAGACTGATGCTGTTCCCCAGCATCAGTCTGAATGGAAACGGTTACTTCGGTGTGCTCCAACATCTTTCATACTTGACAAACAGCTCTAATCCAAACCCCACTCAGCTTCTGGGGTGAAGAGAAAGTGGTGGGGAACAGAAAGCTAATAGAAGAATTCTAGAATTACTGCCTGTATTTCACTCTGTAAGGACCATGTCTGTTTCGTGCTTGTGTTTACCGATCTCTACAATATTCTAGAAAGTCCTCTGAAGAACCTGTGAATTACTCTGCTCTCTCCTGCTTTGTATTTTCCCCTTCGATGCTTTGTATTGAAATAACAACCCTTCGGGCCAAGCAGACGTGGGTGGCTAGAATTGCATTTGGAGTCTTTAAAAACATTATTCCTCTCTCTTCTGATGAAGTGACTGACAACACACTGCTTTCCTCCGAGGAAACACTGTAGAGCTTCCAAACACTCTAAGTAAGTAAATCACTTATCACTTAGTCCCTCATTTGCTAGGGGGATATAGCAACACATGATGTGAGCAGTGCCCTCCCACCTCCCTTCCCTGTTTGCAGGCTCTTTCGCTTTACTTCCTCTCCTCCCCCTTCCTACTCTTGACACAAGCAAAAACCACACAGAGCAAAGCACTGGGGGTTGCCCAGATGCCCAGTCACCGTGAGTTCATCTGACCTGCTAAGACGCTGAGCATCCCTGAGTCCCACTGAGCAGCTCCTTAAAACCAATGAAAATACACTTGCAGCAGGATTAGCAAGAGCAGTGGAGTTATTTCACAGTACGTCAGCTTAACCTGATCTCAGACTGGGCTGCTGTGTTACAAATCCTCCTAACAGTTCCATGCTGGACAGCAGGTGCTAAAGGCAGTGGGTGGGGAGAAATGAAAATAACGTGGGCGCTGCTGCTTGTCTTGGCAGGTAGCAGGCCTACTGACCTGGAAGTCATAATTGGCATCATGATTTATGGCTCCAATATATGCTGCAACCTGCAATGGGTTGTCAAAAGTATTCTTCAGAGATGGCTTTGGTTTCTCTGAAGTTTTCCAGTCGATCACACACAACTGGCCTCTGCATAAGAGAACAAGATAGGACAATGTTTTAAACTCAAGTTTAGTCATAGCAGGAAACAAAGGATGGGACAGCAAAGAAAGCTGTATCACTCTCAGCCTGTTTCACCTTGATGTCACATTGCTCATTATGATGTCTAAGTAAGTCTCTTCCACACTGGTCGTCTCGATCTCAAAAATCAAGACTTATTAATATCTGCTGCAGTTCCTGGCAACTACCAAGGAGCACTTAACCCTACCCCGCTTATATCCTGCCCCAGTAAGGAATTCTGCACAAGGAACAACAGCAATTCTGTCATCAGGTTCACCTCCGAGTTCATCCATTTCACCCCTCTTAGAGATCTCTCCAGCTTGCTCCCAACAGCTCACCAACGCACCCGCACCAGCCTGAGAGACAGCCTCCCACACACCAGGGAGCACCACGCAACACTGGCATTATCAGGTTTCTTAGAGAACCAGTACCTCACCGATACTTAGCCACGCAGTCTACCAGGCCCAGATACTGAAGAGTCTCATGCTGAACAGCACTTTCCAGGGCTTTCACTTCGCTGATATCTTTTAAGACATGTTGCACACTTGATAAGTAGCCAGAAATAGCAACATCTTCTCTCTGCTCCTTAGTTGCCATCTCCTCAGGCAGAAATATAGATTCCAAAGCTGCATGAAAGAGCTCTCCTTGGAGAAAAAGATCTAAGAAACATGTGAAAAAAACCCACATTTTAGACACTACTCATAATACTGGTGGACTTGTATTCTAGATATTACACAACATAGCTCTTAAACCACTCCTCGTTTTGGTACTGAAAGCTTGAAGATGTGGGGAGAAGGGAATGAGACAGAAAAATAAACTAAGTGTCAACAGTGAAATTACCATCTCTTACGTTAATGCTTACTTTACTCTTTTGGTCTCACTAACTACTCAGAAACAAAATATGATTTTTAATTTATTGTTTATTCAGAGGCATTTGTGAATTTCTATGAATTAAAAATATTATTCTAGACTGCTTTTGCTGCGTTTGCTTCTTCTACTGTATCGGTTCATTTGAACTGAACTAATCTCCTCCTGAAATGGGTGGGCATAGTTCTAGGAGTAAGGGCTTATGTCAGAAACGATTCCAAGAAGGATAAATTTTAAGTAGTCATGTTAGGTTTGTTATGCCACCTTATTCACTGAAGTGCTTATTAACTCAAAAAGCATAAACACGGGATATTCAGTTTTAAAAAGCATAACAATTCATGTAAGGAGCGCTCGGGTATTATCAACCTTGCTACAAGAGGCTACCTGCTACCCCCCAGGTACTCCCAGACCCCCTTCAGCTTGGGGAAGTCACCTTTGTAGGTCTTATGAAATGAAAACCTCTAAGTGCATGGCAGTTTCATAGGAGAGGCCATATGTACTAAATAGTTACTGAAAAATTTCAACATAACCAGCAAGACGCTAGTTTTTTAACCACTCAGGATGATAGGATTTCAGAATGCTTATTTCTATCTCATTACAAAGTAGCTTTGTATCTCCAAACAGGCTCAGTAACGTCAGCGGGAAAATATCTATTTGCAAATAGATACTAGCACGTAGAGAAATAAAGGAGAGGCAGACAGGACAGAGCAAAGAATGTCTACTGTCTAATTCTCATTTCCCACACATTTCTGAATCCATTTTAGTGGTCATAGAACAAAGATCAGAGCTTAGATTCATTGATAACAGGTGTGCTCATAATACCCTGTCGGCCCTCGAAATAGAAACAACTTAAAGGATTTCCAAAACACTTGACTTGTAGGGCCAGATACTGCAGCTATGCAAGCACGTCCCAGCCAGCTATCCAGGCTATTGCTTCTACTTTTTTATCACGCTGTGGATAGACTTACTTTTAGTATACTCTGCAAAACCATCTTTTCCAAGTTCCTGTATCATTTTCTGCTTCCATCTTTCTAGATAAAAGGCTTGCTGCGGAGACATAGTCTGTTGAAGAATACGAGTAACACTGGGCATTTTTGTTTTTTGTAAAGAGATTTTCATGGGGAGGTTTGACTCACTGTTGAGAAGGGGAATGCTCTTGTTGGGGTTTATTAAAGGAACCCAGTTCTTGGGAGTTTTTGTTTCAGCTTTAACTGGAGGTCTGTGTTTATCCGGTGGCCCATATAACAAATTGTCTTCTTCAAGTATTGTCTCTGGTGTTTGAGCGCTGGTTTTGTAAGATGTAACGGAGTAGACCAAGTTCTTGTATTTTTCTTGGTCAACTTGTTCATAACTATTCACTTTTTTCTTCTTACTATAAAGACAAGTGGAGGTGGCCAGACACAAATACGGGAATTGCTTTTGGCAAAAAGGTGTTTGAAAAAGTATTCCCAGTTTCCCAGGTTTCCTGGACAGTAGCTGTAGGAATGTCATTCTGACAAGAAGCATTTGAGAGTAGTTAGGAGTTTTCTTTCTTCTGTTAGGAAGGGTCTGTGGGTTACCATATTTTCCCCCTGTGGAAAAATAAATTTGTGATTTCCAGAGTCATAAAACACTACCATCAACCTATTTTTGCTAAACAAAAAACTGATGTGGTCATAAAGTGCCTTCATACACCTTATGCCACCAAAATTCCATTAGATAAATAATACAGTAAAAGCAAGAACCAATAAGCAATGAAAAGAAGAAATGATCCTGAAAAGAACCAGTGCTGGTCTGCAAAATCTGAAACAGGGCAAACGCATAAAGACATTAAAGTAGCAAACGTAGCAGCAGATGATGCTTTTACAGCAACAGTATCAGAACTGTCATGAAAGGAGACACAAAATCTGTTCCCATACAAACACCCTCCCAAAAGATGGAGGGGGAAATAAAAAACGGCTATGCAGCAGAGAATGTAGCAAATCCATTGTTATGAGGTATTAAAACCAAGTAAGTTTATAGCAGATGCCCAACTTAAGAGGATTGTGGCAACAAAATACCTTTTGGAGAATAAAAACGTTTTTCTTTTACATATCTAGAATAAAGCAGACAGCGGCAGTATATACATGCTGAAACTGGGAGTCCCGAGACTGGGAAAGCCAAGGAGAAACCAGATATACTGCAAGTATCTCCAGATTCAAATAAATCTTTTAAAGATCAGAGTAAAATATAGAAGTATATTTCTAAACTGAGTTTCAAACATAGTTGTGCTGTAAGACACTTGGGAAGTTTAAAAGTAAATTCTGTTGTACCCCAGAATTATTGTTCACAGCATAGATTTCAAAACTGCATTGTAACTGCAGTGCTAATTCCTAGGAAGGTTTATGCATGTGGATAAAATGTAAACACTTTAATAGTGGCATTTAAATCAACAATAAATACTTGCAGAATTGAGGCCCTATTCTTCTACTGAAAGTTATCTGCATACCATTACAAAGTTCCCTTCCATCCACTGCAAACAAAGAATACAGGCAACGCACATGGCCAACTAACATCAGCATTTCGTTTCTGAAAATACTTTAACGTTACTCTTTTCTTTACCTACGCGTCTTACACAGCGCTTCATACACCGCCCAAACTGTAGGCGCCACAGAAAACAAAAACGTAGTAGGAGGAGTTATTTTGCACGCACAGATCCTGCACTCATGCAGAACTGCAGTGACACCACCGTGTGGGTGCGGGCATCTGCCACACAGAACAGTTTGCAAAACTGGGGCTGTACCAGCTGCAGCTGATGAGACAAAGGCAGCTTGTAACAAGAGGCTGAGACCTTGGACTCTGGTTCCATAAATATTGTTCTTCATCTGTGAAGGACAAAACCCTCCAGCTGTAGACATTTAATCAGGAGTAGGCAGATACACTGCTTTTTTCTTTATTGGCTTTACATTTTCACACCGACTTTGTATGGTTTGGGCAAATAATAACTGTTCTGTAACCTGATGGTATGTAACCTGATACAAAATTAACCTGGAAATCTAAAAAGCAAATCTGAACCAGGAAAACACAATTAGGTTGGATCAGAACTGTGCATTATGTAGCAGTGGCATTTCTGACCCAGTACCAGGTGCCCTACAGCCAGATTTGCCATACCGTTGCTAGATGGTGTCACTCAGTCTTCCGTAAGGGTTTCCTATAATTACAATGCATATCAATCAAAATAGTTAAGGATTTTAAAACTGCTTCATGGTCCACAAGAGAGTAATGGAGGAAAATAATGAAAGTACCAACTGGTTAATTCTGCTACTGCCTTCTTACAGTCTGATTAGATAAAAAGCAAGCTACCTTACAAGGGAAACTTCACTATTTAAGATACTTTGAATGTATCACTTCCCTATTTTAATCATTACATTATACTTAATATTGAATCAAATCTAAATCCGCTTTCCTTATCCAGCAGAACTGGGCTAGATGGATTTGCGCTTGTTTTCTCATTTTCCAGTGTTCACCAGCAAGAACAGACATGACTCTTGCTCTGAGCATCCTCTAACCTCCAGATTCCTGACAAAACTACTCTCCTGCCTGCACATGAGAAAAGCACAGTCAGATGCACTACAAAAGGAAAAAACAGACAATTTTAACTATTTTACTGCTACAACAGTATGCAAGTTTTGCCAAAAAAATAGAACAACCTGCTTTGGATAGGTTACACAGCAGCAAGAAATTGGACTATGTCCTGTAACTCAAGTTCTGCCTTGCTTCATTTCCTGAACATGTGAGGTTTTACAAATTTAGGTGAAACGTAACCAAAGTTTATGTTACCTCTCATTTCTTGTAAGATGTCAGAAAGCTGTTTCTACAGCTTGTGAGAAATTTGTAACAGCATAAAGAGGTACTTTTAATGAAATATACATGTTTTGATTTTTCAGTTCTCCTTGGGTTTTTGATCGGAGATTTTGTATGTCTTCACTATTACTACCAATTGTTCTAATAAATTTATTTTTAAGAAGATCCCTGTGTTTTGTCATTTGACTATCATAAAGCAGCTCACTTCTGCAATGCTGCTAAGCCAGCATTTACAGCAACTCACTCTTCTCAGAAGACAATCACATTTTTTAATAGATTTTTTTGGTGTTGGAATTGGATCGGTTACCTGACAGAATGTGCCCCTCGCTGAAAAAGAAATAATGAATGATGTTAGCACGTTACAACAGGTGTCAGTTTGCTGCAGGAGGTAACAAAAAACAGTAAAAGCAGCAAAGGGATACGTAAAGGTCATACTTTAATACCAAAACCAAATTGCTTCACTGTATTTTTCATCATAAAAAAAGCAGTGCAAAAAAACTAATCTCTCCTCTCTTGGAGTTTACCTCCTAATAGAGCTGCTGAAGCTGTGACTTAAAATAAAACACAAAAAAACCCCAACTTTTATTGCAATGTAATTGTAACCAAACTTGTAGTTTCTCAGGCTATTGTTTGATGCCCATCAATATGCTTACCCAAGTGTATTAATCAGAACAGAATAAACGCTGGGTCAATGAGTGTGTATTTGTTACATTAGCCAGAGCACAAAAGAAAAAGTTTATTCTGGCTTTGTATCAGCTGCAGGAAGCAAGATGATACCTGATTCAGCCTGAAGTTCACTTGTAGTAAGCTGCCCCCTCAATATTTTTTAAGGAATAAATTCATAATAATGAGTGCTTTGAATCATGGGGCTATTAAAATATGCAGTATTATGAGCCCTAGAGCCAATTTATAATAACACTGATGCAGTGTTTCAGTAACGCCTAGTATGAATATTAAATTAACAGCCTATATTGTTCTGGAGTAATATCTGTCGAAATGTTTGTGCACTCCATGAACTGAACCACTGGGAAAGGGAGAGTTTGTCAGCTGCTGTGCTGTTCTACAAAAGGAAAGAGGTTCTAGGATTGCTAAGAAATAAAGAACGCTTGTATCTAGCGGAATAAAGGATCATGTGTTTTTCAATAAATCACAGTGGCATTTCTGTGCAAATAACTTACATTTACAAGAAAGAAATTGAGTTGGAGTGGTCTGGATCTACTCTCATACATAAAGAGCAGAATTCAATTCATATTTCTCTGAGCAGAAGTGTCTCCCTTCTCTCTGAAACAGTTTTTGTTTGAAGACTGGTAGAATCGCATTGAGTATTGCATGATGAGCCACACTGGAGAACTGAACACAAATAAAACAACCTGGGGAGGGGAAAGGACTTCTCTTAAGTTTCCCAAGCTAGTTGAGTTTGCAGCTCCAACGACAACTACACAACACAACTGAATTAGTTTTTCCAGGATAGGAATGAGTGGCCTAACTGAGGGAAACAAAATATGGTCACTTAATAAAGTGTTCACATCCATAAAAACCTTCCTCCAACTATGGTTTCAGACAATAATCAGTACAGCTTTTTCTCCACAGTCACCTATCAAGCAAACAAAAGCACTAGTTTACTTCTGAGATAATAAGAAAGAGCACTACTAAACATAGTTACAGATCTGTTACTCTGTGTCCCCAATTTGAGAACAGCAAATCCACTCATGAAGGTATAATTTAAGTTATCAGAGGCTTTTATCTGGGAAGAAGTTTTACTATTTGATGTAGAAAGGCAACAGTAACCTATCTGCTTGGTTGGAATGACCTCCTTCTCTTTTGTCTGGTCACAGCTTAAGAATGCAGGGCTTTGACGCTATACCAATTTTAGGACTTTGCACACTTGCTTATTCCCTGCCCTCAATCTCTCTTCCTCGGTTCCTTGCAGTTTGTAAGCTAAATCATTGAGGTTAAAAATACACCTCTCTCTTTTGGGAAGCTAAGAACATGGGGAGAAAAAGGAAATTTAAAATAAAATAATAAATAATAAATTTAGCAACCCCGTTTAAAGTACAAGCCCACAGAACTACACAACAAGCTTCAGCACTGGGAAGGGAATTAGCATGAAACAGGGTTGTAACACAAAGTCGGCATTTTTGGCAAAGCAATCTGCGAAAAAGCTGGCCTAATCTTGGTGACCAGCAAGTGCCCTCCAGCAGAGAACCCTTCTGCATAGGCACCAGGCGCCTGAAAATCCCAGACAGTGCTGGATCACAGAATCACAGAATGGTAGGGGTTGGAAGGGACCTTCAGAGATCATCTAGTCCAATCCCCCTGCCAAAGCAGGTTCACCTAGAGCAGGTTGGACAGGAACGCGCCCAGGCAGGTTTTGAATATCTCCAGATAAGGAGACTCCACAGCCTCTCTGGACAGCCTGTTCCAGTGCTCTGCCACCCTCAAAGTAAAGAGGTTTTCCCCATGCTGAGAGGGAATTTCCTGTGTCCCAGTTTGTGCCCGTTGCCCCTTGTCCTGTCGCTGGGTACCACTCACTGAAAAGAGTTTGGCTTCATCCTCTTGACACCTGCCCTTTAGATATTTATAAGCATTGATGACATTCCCTCTTAGTCTTCTCTTCTCCAAGCTAAACAGACCCAGGTTTCTCAGCCTTTCCTCATAAGAGAGATACTCCATTCCTTGATCAT